GGGCGACTGCTCTTCCAGCTGAGCTATTCAGATCCTTTCGATTCTATACTTTTCTCTGTTATATATATTAATGTTGGTAAACAAACGCATTTTTTAAGCCAGCGTGTATCAAATATAAGAGTTTTAACAAGGCTCTGTAATATAAATATAAATTTAACGCATAAGACGGGCAACAAGAGCCAAATCGCGGATGACAATGCGTTATCCTAACGAAACTAAATAATTTTTCGTTAGAATTAAATACCGGTGCACAAGGCACCAAATTTTTACTTGGACACGGCCAAGATTTTAAATATGAAATAATCTCATATTTTGAGATTTAATTTCAATACCCCTTTTAACCCCCCTACGGAAAATAAATAAATTAATATATATAACAGAGAATAAATAAATTAATATATATAACAGAGAAAAGTATAGAATCGAAAGGATCTGAATAGCTCAGCTGGAAGAGCAGTCGCCCGGCAAGCGAAAGGTCTCGGGTTCGATTCCCGATTCAGCGATTTTCGGATCTATATTTTTCTCTTGCATTCATTTATTTATTTTCCGTAGGGGGGTTAAAAGGGGTATTGAAATTAAATCTCAAAATATGAGATTATTTCATATTTAAAATCTTGGCCGTGTCCAAGTAAAAATTTGGTGCCTTGTGCACCGGTATTTCATTCTAACGAAAAATTATTTAGTTTCGTTAGGATAACGCATTGTCATCCGCGATTTGGCTCTTGTTGCCCGTCTTATGCGTTAAATTTATATTTATATTACAGAGCCTTGTTAAAACTCTTATATTTGATACACGCTGGCTTAAAAAATGCGTTTGTTTACCAACATTAATATATATAACAGAGAAAAGTATAGAATCGAAAGGATCTGAATAGCTCAGCTGGAAGAGCAGTCGCCCGGCAAGCGAAAGGTCTCGGGTTCGATTCCCGATTCAGCGATTTTCGGATCTATATTTTTCTCTTGCATTCATTTATTTATTTTCCGTAGGGGGGTTAAAAGGGGTATTGAAATTAAATCTCAAAATATGAGATTATTTCATATTTAAAATCTTGGCCGTGTCCAAGTAAAAATTTGGTGCCTTGTGCACCGGTATTTAATTCTAACGAAAAATTATTTAGTTTCGTTAGGATAACGCATTGTTATCCGCGATTTGGCTCTTGTTGCCCGTCTTATGCGTTAAATTTATATTTATATTACAGAGCCTTGTTAAAACTCTTATATAAGATATATATATATATATATATATATATATATATATATAGTCAATTCACAAATGAACATAGACAGGTGATATACATAAACGATACCATCAAATACAAAGAAATAATATGCTTAATTATAACACCACTGATGTTGAATAAATGAATAAATACAATAAGAATATAACTGAACATAGATGAGGTAATATAATTTAAAATCTTATATAATGTCACTAAATAATTTATGTATCACCATAAGCGTTTAATATAGTGACAAACATAATGAAAATACAACTAAAATATCATAAAATCATATATGAAGTTGCAATGAAAAGAAAGGCTAAAATTATGTACTTAAGTGACAAATATCTTGTTATCAAATATTAATTGTTATATCCCTAAGAGATATAACTATTAATGTATAATTATTCGTATATATATATATATATATATTGTAAGATATATGCGTGCGTCCGGCGGAACTCGTCATATTGCGTATTATACATCTTTCACAACTGTTCATTGCGTACGCATCCGAGCAGGAGCGTAACAGGAGTGGGGCACTGTTCGAAGATTCTGCTCCAAAAAGACCGGCGACTAACTGTCACTCTCTTTTGAGAAGCGCTATACGAGGGTCACTATTTATATTTCGGGAGTAGGAACAAAAACAAATAGTTAAGCTGCGAATATATTTTTATTGTTTTTCAAAGTACTCGCCACAATGATCGATACACTTTTGCATGCGCTTAAACCAATTTTCAAAGCATTTATTCCATTCCAAATGAGGTATCTCCAAAACATGATTTTTGAACGCTTCAATAGCTTCTTCGGGCGATGAAAATCGTTGACCACGCAGTTTATTCTTCACGGGTGGGAACAAAAAGAAATCATTGGGTGCCAAATCAGGGCTGTACGGCGGATGACCCATCAATTCGATGTATTGAGTGCTCAAATAGTCTCTTGTTTGAGCCAATGTGTGAGAGCTCGCATTGTCATGATGAAGAATAATCCGACGTCTCTTGTTTGTTTTCCTTATTTTACCAAAGATTTCTGGCAAACAGATGGTTGTGTACCACTCAGAATTTACTGTTCTACGATCCTCTAGAGGCACTGTTGCAATATGACCAGTTTTTCCGAAGAAACAGGCTACCATTTTCTTTGAAGTGCTTCGTGCGCGAACAACTTTTGTTGGATTTGGTTCATCTTAGAACACCCATACAGTCGACTGCTGCTTACTTTCGGGCTCATACAAATATATCCATGATTCGTCACCTGTCACGATTTTATAAACGTCTTTTGGAGCACCGCGATTGTATTTCTTAAGCATTTCTTTGCACCAATCGACACGAGCCTTTTTTTGAGTGATTGTCAAATTATGTGGGATCCAACGCGAACATAACTTTCGCACAGCTAAGTGTTCATGTAAAATCGTATATATGCTGGTGGAACTAATGCTTAGGGATGCCTCAATCTCACAATAGATTACATGACGATCTTGCTTAATCATTTCGTGCACAGCATCGATGTTTTCTGGCACTACAGTCGATTTTGGACGACCTTCACGAAACTCGTCGGACAGCGAACTACGACCACGATTGAATTCACTATACCAGCGATACACAGTGGTTTTTGATGGAGCTTCATCGCCAAAAGTCAAATTAAGTTGATTGACGCACTCTTGTTGTGATAATCCACGTCGAAAGTCGTAAAAAATCATCGCACGAAAATGTTCACGATTCAGTTCCATTTTTTGCCGAGACGAAACTTTCAACTAAATATAAAATAAACAAATAGCGTCCGTATGACAAAATGTTCTGAGTACGTATATCGTCAAAAATGTCAAACTTTACGATGGAACCGTCAGATGGACTCACATGACATCAGTGTTGCCAATTCCCGAAATATAAATAGTGACCCTCGTTTGTTGTCGATAAGAAATATACGTGCGGGAGTCATTAGTTTGTACTTAGGAAATAAATTATGAACAAGAATCATCTTTCAACTTCAGAAATGGGATTCAGCTCAGGCTTCACAGAGATCCAGAAGCAGAGGTCATTTGGGACAAAGAGAATAATAAAAGAGTTGTTAAAACACAGGTACACAGTTGTTAAAACAACGGCTTTTTTAAATTTAACGAGAAAAGTATTCTACTTGCATGAAAACTCGAGCTCGCGGTAAAATGGATCGAGCACAATTAGAAAATCTCTCTCACGAGGAGCTGAGATTAGAGGCATCGAAGTATCGGTTGCCAATCTCGGGAAATCGAAACTCGCTCATAGACGTGATCATGACACATCTAGAGACTCATGGTCCGGTCGAGGAGATGATGCAGTTGGCTTCTCCGAGACCGACGACTTCGGGTGCTATTCCGAAGAAGGCTGCGCAGCAACGACGAGACTCCCAGGAATCGGCGGATGTCCTCAAGCAGATGCTGGTGGCGATGCAGAGGCAGCACGACCAGATGGGAGCGGCGATGTAGCTACAACACGAGACATTAGGACAGATTCTCCAGTTGCTAATTGATCAGAGGGAGGCGAGACCGGCGCAAACGCAGGCAGGCATGGCGAGGGAGGTTGAGCGAGATACTTCACCTCGTGTGTCCCCGTAGGAGGAAGCAGGACGGCGCTCGACGGAGTCGTGGTCGTCAGGATCGGCGGTACAGGCGTTGGCTCATCAAATCCCGGAGTTCGGTGGCACGGAGGACGACAACGTCCACTCCTGGGTCCGCAGAGTGGACAAGGTTGCTCAGGTCCACGGAGCAACATTATTGGCAGCATCGAGTAAACTGACCAAGTCGGCTAGGCGATGGTTTGACGTCCAGGGAGATCTGGTCGTTGAATCCTGGGTCGGCTTGAGGTCAGAGTTATTAAAAATCTTTGACAGGAAAATTTCATTTTATAGATCCATGCAAAAAATTGAGGCAAGGAAGTGGACTTCCAACAAGGAGACATTCAAAGATTACGCCATCGATAAGCTGGCGCTGATGCACCAGATGGACATACCTAATCGTGACAGGATCCAGTTGCTGGTGAGCGGAATAATGCCGACATCACTCAGAGCGACGGCGCTGGCGGTGTCCGACGACACTTTGGAAGGCTTTTTGGCGAGGATGCGGACAATCACCCAGGGCGCCACGGACTGGGAGAGGAAGCCGTCATCCCAAGGGCAGCAGCCGAAGCCAATGGACGGAGCCTGCCGGAACTGTAGAAAGAAAGGGCACACGTTCAAGGAATGCAGAAACGAGGTAGCGTGTTTCTATTGCAAAGAAAGAGGGCATAGGCGATTCGACTGCCCGATTTTAAAAAAGAAGGAGTCTAAGACTCCCGGGCGAGCGCAGAATTCCTCTGGAATTGCGGCGGCGAGTGTGTCTGCGGATACTCATGCGTCTGATAGCGTCGCGGTAGTCCAGGCGGAGCGTACTTTATTGTCAGTTACAGATCCGTTTATTAGAGTTAGTTACCTGGAAAACAGGCGTTGTAATTTGACCGCGTTAGTGGACACCGGTAGTCCGGTATCATTTATAAAGAACAATATTTTGGAAAAATTTATAGAGCCGGGAAATAAATTATTAAAAATTAAAAGTCCGTTGCGGAACTTGTCAAATAAACCACTTAAAATTTTAGGCATATATAAAAGTAAAATCGGGATATCATGCCTAGAAAACCGGATAATTTCAGTAAATTTGTATGTTCTCGACTCGAACACCTTTCAAGGAGACATAATTTTGGGACGCGAGTTTATAATTGAGGAAAAGTTTACATTTGTTTATGAGCCAGGCGCGAAGGGCGACCGAGACAAAACCAATTTGTTTGCGTATTTACCGCTTTGTATCGAGGCCGAGCAAAACAATCTGGAACAAATTATTAAAAATCACAACATAGATTTGACACCGAGACAAAAGACAAATTAAGTAAACTTGTTTGTCATATAAAAAACCAAAATATCGTACCGGTCGAAGATAATAACACCGTCGAAGTTCATCTTAAAGACCCGTCGATTTACGCGTTCGCTCCGAAACGTTTCGCGAATGCTGAGCGGTTGGAACTCAGAAAAATCACCGATGATCTTCTCGAACGGGGAATAATTCAGCCTAGTATCTCCCCGTATTGTGCTCGAGTAGTTCCTATAAGGAAAAAGAACGGGCAAATGAGATTATGTGTAGATTTGAGGCCGTTGAATAGTCGGGTTATCAAGCAGAAATATCCGTTTCCAATTATAGAAGACTGTCTCGCGAAACTCAGCAATAAAAAAGTATTCACATTGTTAGACTTAAAAGACAGTTTCAATCAAATAAAAGTACACAAGGATTCAACTAATTATTTCGCATTCGCTACGCCAGACGGTCAATTCGAGTATACTCGCTTACCTTTTGGTTATTCAGAATCACCCGCGGAATTCCAGAAAAGATTGATACGGATCCTCAATCCGTTGATTCGTGCGGATAAAATACTTGTATATATAGATGATGTTTTGATTCCGTCCGAATCCGTCGAGGAAAATCTTGAAATGTTAGAACGTGTATTAATTATTTTGAAAAGCCATAATTTTCAATTAAATTATGAAAAGTGTAAATTTTTGAAAAAAGAGATAGAGTTCTTAGGATATAGGATTTCAGAAAACGGGATTACACTTAGTCCGCGACATACAGAGGCAATAAGAATCTATAGTCCTCCGAAGGACCGATTACAATTGCAAAGGTTCTTAGGCCTCATCAACTATTTTAGAAAATTTATCAAAGATTACGCTATTAAAATTAGGCCATTGCAAAATCTCATGAAGAAAAACGTGCCTTACAGTTTTGATAGTTCGTGCCTAGAAGCGTTTAACTCACTAAAGAGGGAATTGACCTCACCTCCGGTGTTGAGTTTATATAATCCCTCCGCAGAGACTCAGCTTCATACAGATGCGTGCAGTCTAGGGTACGGGGCGATTCTGTTGCAGTGGCAGCAGGAGGGGAAATGGTCCCCAGTAGCGTACTTTAGCTCCGGCACCAATGCGGCTGAAAAGAATTATCACAGCTACGAGTTAGAGATGCTAGCTATAGTGCGTGCGATAGAACGATTTCACGTGTATCTCTACGGTATTGAATTTGCAGTTATTACGGACTGTAATGCTATTGTTTATGCAGTTAATAAGGCGAATCTGAATCCGCGTATAGCCAGGTGGACATTGGCTCTTCAGAATTATACTTTTACCATAATGCACTGTCCAGGAAGTCGCATGGCTCACGTTGACGCCCTCAGCAGATGCGTGGCCCATGTAGACGAGCTTCCATTGGAGAGGCGTTTAGAGTTTTTACAGCTGTCCGATCCAAGAATTCTGGAAATCAGTCAGCACCTAGAAGTAGAAGATAGTGATAAATTTGAGTTAAATGACGGTTTGGTATATAAAAAAATAGAAGATAGACTTAAATTTGTAATTCCGGAGTCAATGGTGACAAATATGTTGCGTGTCCACCACGATGATTTAGCTCACTGCGGCGCTGAGAAAACATATCAAAGCCTTAGTAAAAATTTCTGGTTTCCGACAATGAGAAAGAGAGTACAGGATTATATAAATAATTGTCTCACCTGCGTGATGTCAAATAGCTCTTCAAATCGTTTTGAGGGGGAAACACAAGTGTACCCTTTCCCCACGATGCCACTTGATATTATACACATTGACCACTTCGGTCCGTTACAAGAATCTGCAGACAATTATAAACACATTTTAATAATAATTGACGCCTTTACGAGATTCACATGGCTTTTTCCTACAAAGTCTACTGGGACTAAAGAAGCTTTAATTTGTATTAATAACATAATATCAGTTTTTGGGAAGCCTTAAGAAATAGTTTTAGATAGGGGTTCGGTATTTACATCAAAAGAATTTTTAGAATACATTAAAGACAAAAATATCAAGCATCGGAAGGTTGCGGTGGCAGCACCTTGGGCAAATGGTATGGTTGAGAGGGTGAATAGATTTATTAAGTCATCTCTTACCAAATTAATAGATACTCCAAGCGAATAGAAAGAACGGTTAAACACAATGCAATATGTACTTAACAATACTTACCATTCCGCTATAAAGGCTACTCTTAGACAAAAAGGGGAAATATATATATATATATATATTCAGATGAATAATGATGCTTTATTCGTAGATGGTGTTACACAGAATAATTCGTCCTTGTATATGCTCGCAACACTTAGCCTCGGTATAATCTTGTCCTTATCAATAATGACTGCGAACCTTATAATAATGCTTATTACCACAGCAGCAAGCACACGCTTAACCACACCAGTTCTCCATCGAGCGCATGCGCACTCCTATATCTTGTCCATGCCACACTCCGATCACATGCCGATCACTCATCGATCACACGCCAAGCATCCCCCGCGCCGCACACTATGTCGGCGTTGCGCGCGCACGCCCGCGCCTAACCATCTTCGCGAACGCTTGTTGTTGCTTTATGCTAACACTCCTCCTCAACAACCACATCTTATTCGTTTAAGCCACTTTTCTGTCTTAAGGACTCTAACTTTACACGTTCAAGTGGCTTGGTCAAAACATCCGCAATCATTATCTCTGTTGGACAATACACGTAATTAACAATACCAGTGTCGCTTAGATCCTTCACATAATTGTACTTAGTACTAACATGTTTTGTTCGCTTACTATATTTATCTTTATTAACTAACTTAATACAGCTTTGGTTATCTTCGAATATCACAGTTGGTCGTACTTGTTCTTCACCGAAATCCTTTAACAAATTTCGTAACCACACTGCCTCTTGACATGCTTCCGCGAGTGCGACATATTCTGCCTCTGTGGAGGACAATGCCACGCACGACTGTTTTCTGCATGCCCAGCTTACTGTTCCGCCGTTAAATTTAAATAAATAACCGCTGTTGGACTTCCTATCTTCGACATCCTGAGCCCAATCGGCATCTGAGTATCCGAGCAGAACGTCTTTTTCTTCCTTATTTCTGAACCTAATATTAACTTTAAATCTTTAGTACCTTTTAAATAACGCAGCACCCTCTTTGCTTCTAACCAATCGGATTCCGTAGGACAATTCATTTTTCTACTTAGTATCGACACACTCGCAGTTACATCTATCCTAGTATTAGTGGCTATATATATTAATGCTCCGATTAATCTCTGGTACTGTTTCTTTTCTATCCTGCTTGATTCATCTTTTCTTTTTCCGTATCCTACATCTAATGGAATTCTAGATCCTTTCGCATTTTTCATACTATAAGTCTTTAATAGCTTTCTATATAACCTGTCTGATTGATATTATAAAGCCCACTTTTATCTCTCACTACCTTAATACCTAAATAATAACTAATATTGCCAAGATTTGTTAGTTCAAAATAATTACTTAACCGTTTATGCATCTCTGATATACGCTTTACATCATTACTAGCTACAACAATGTCATCTACATAGATTATTATAAAAACTTTATCTTTACCTATTTCTTTTGTATAGAGACATGAATCTACCTGGCTTTGTTTATACTGTTCCTTGACGAAAATGTCATTTAATTTGTTATTCCACACCCTAGCTGCTTGTTTTAACCCGTAGATATTCTTAGTCAATTTACATACCATGTGCTCTTTATTTTTCACCTCAAAGCCTTTCGGTTGTGCCATGTAGATTGTCTCTTCTAGTACTCCGTTTAGGAACGCATTCTTCACGTCGAAGTGCTGAACTACCAGTTGCTGCTTCCCTGCTACCGCTAACAGCGCCCTGAAGGTGGTTTGTCTCGCTACGGGAGCGAATACTTCTTCGTAGTCCACGCCGCATTCTTGACTGTAGCCCTGCGCAACCAGCCTTGCCTTGTATCTAATGACGTGTCCCTGTGCGTCTGTCTTTGTCTTGTAGACCCATTTGCAGCCTACGATATTTTTACCTACTGGCTTGTCCACCAGTGTCCATGTACGAGCCTTTATAAGAGAGTCGTACTCTTCACGCATACCTTTTAGCCATTCCGTGCCCTTAAATGATGCTATTGCCTCCTCGTATGTATCCGGTTCAAGCGATTCGGCTTCTTGCGTGCAGTATGCTGAGTATCTATCTGGTGGGATTCCTTTATTGTTCCGTTGCGATCTTCGTAGTTGATCTTCATCATCCTTCTCCTCCTGAATTGATGCTTCTTCTTTAGGTTGCTTGCAGCTTTTATCTTTTACTTCTTCCACTTGATTACTTGTTTCTTCTTCATCATGCTGTATTCCTTGTTCCTCATTCATCTCAATGATTACTTCCGTCAAGTCATCTTTTTCTTGAGTAAAGTTAACGTCTCGACTGATCGTAACTTTGTCAGTGTTAGTATCTAGCAACCGATATCTTTTGGCGTCTTCCGCATATCCTACGAATATGAATTCCTTTGCCTTTTCGTCGAGTTTTTTCTCAGCTCCTTTGGAATGTGTGCATATGCTTTCGACCCGAATGCATGTATATGCTGTAACGATGGTTTCTTCTTGTGCCATCTTTCATAAGGCGTTGTTTCCGTGACCTTTGTGTAAGTTCTGTTTTGCAAATAATTTGCGGTGCATACTGCTTCTCCCCAGTATTTATTTGGTAGTCCTGCGTCGATTAACATGCATCTCGCCATCTCCATGAGATATCTATTTTTCCTTTCTGCTGTTCCATTCTGTTCCGGTGCGTACCCGACAGTGTATTGTATTTCAATTCCTTTCTTCCGTAGAAAGTTCCTTAAGTCTGCGTTCACATATTCTCTTCCTCGATCCGATCTAATGATTTTTGGTACCTTCTCGAACTTTGTTTTCATGTTCCTTACGAAGTCTCGAACTTTTTCTGTTACCTCTGATTTATATTCCATGAGGTATATGACTGTATACCTGCTGTAATCGTCGATGAGGGTCAATACGTAACGCTTATTTCCAGGAGTCTTTGTTTGCATAGGACCGCATACGTCCGTATGCACCAGATCAAGTATTTCTCCTGTCTTGCTAAATGATTTTTTCGCGAACGGCTGTCTGGTCATTTTTCCTTTTATGCATGTTTCACATACGCTTCTTATGCCGCAATCCTTTATCTTTAGTCCTGTCGCTAGATCTTTTCTTTCCATCTGCCTTATTGCTTCTGGGTCTCTATGTCCGAGCTTCCTGTGCCATGTATGCTGACAGTCCCTTTTGTGCCTATTTTTAACCATCAGCGCCTGATTAAAACATAGTTTATACAGGTTTCCATTTATATCCGCTGTAGCCACAGTGACTTTATCCTTCGTAATACAGCAAACATTTTTTGTAAATTTAACCTCAAGACCCTTTTCTGTTAATTTCTTTACTGACAGTAAGCTTTCTTCTAGAGCAGGAACATATAATACGTCTTTAATTAAAATTGTGTTCTCTTTACCTTTATCATCTTTGCAGATGAGATGACCGTCTCCTATGCCTTGCACCTCCGCACTGTCACCATTTGCCAGTGTTATGACATCATCTTTAGTTGCATGAAGCGTGTCGAAGAAGCCCTTATTGTTGCTCATGTGACTTGTCGCTCCTGAGTCGATGTACCAAGTTCCCTTGCTGCCGCTACTGCTTCGAGCACAGAAGCAGATCTGTCTCTCACTTTCCTTGTCGACGGCTTGATTCGCTTTTGGTGCCTTTTCCTTCGTTGCCTTCCACTTCAAGTATTTTTTGCAATCTCTTTTTAGATGACCTGGTTTTTGGCAGAAAAAACACGTAACATCCTTTACGTTCTGTTTCTGTGGTGTAGGCTTTGTGAATTTATTGAACTGCGTCTTAAGAGCCTTATCGTCTCGCTCATCTGTGTGCCCTCTTGTATTCTTCCGTCTTCTGTCTTCATCCAGGAGTTTACTCTTTACGAGCTCTATAGTTAGTTCATCTTCTGACCTTGTTTCCAATGCTGTTATTAGCGTATTGTACGATTCTGGCAAACTACATAGTATTAATGCGATAACCATCTTATCTTTTAGAACTTCTCCTAATGCAGCTAACTGATCCGTTAAATCTAACATTGCGTTCAAGTGA